TGGAATTCTGTCTCTGCAACATTCCAGTTATGTGATGTTTTCCTTCTCTCGGCCTCAGATTCATCATCTGTAGAACAGAGAGATTAAATGAGATAACACATATAAAGCCCCTAGCACAGTGTAACACATGGTAGCTATTGAACTCCATTTTGCAAACAAAAAAGTGACGCTAAGTGATAAGGGGCTTATTCAGGGTCATACAGCTGGTGATTGGCCTCAGACCAAGCTGATTGTCACCAGGCCCTATCTCCTGGCTGCTTCGTGGGACCTTTGCTGCTTCCAGCCAGGGCTGTTCTCCATGTCCAAGGACTAAAATTCTTGGAGAGTCTGACATTGCGGTCAGGGAGTTTGCAAACCTGTGACCATTCATCACTGTAGCAGCTTAAATCGTGCTCTCCCAAAGTTCGGATCCTCCCAGAACCTCAGGACATGACCTCATTTGGAAATAGGGTCTTTGCAGAGGTAATTAAAATAAAGATCAGAATGAGATCATATTGGATTAGAGCTGGCCCTAAATCCAACAAGACGGAAAAGAACAGAGCCACAGGGAAGAAGGCCACGTGAAACAGGAGGCTGAGATTGGGGCAATGCTGCCACAAGCTGCCACAAGCTGAGGCTGGCCGAGAGCCACCAGGATCTGGGGGAGGCATGGAAGGATGCTCCCCCAGAGCTTTTGGAGAGAGCGAAGCCCTGCCGGCACCTCGATCTGGGACTTCTGGCCTCCAGAAATGTGAAAGAAGAAATTCCTGTTGTTTTAAGCCACCCAGTTTGTGGCGATTTGTTACCGCAGCCCCAGGAAACTCAGACACTGCCCTTGACTCTAAGATATGAGTGAACAGGGGTGTCGGACTCAGAACGTCTGCAGGCATCTGAGACAAAGAGTGTGCATTGTGGAGGCACACATGGGCTCAGCTTTGAGTTGTTGTTTCTTTATTTGCAAGAGAGAGAGAGAGAGAGAGAGAGGAATATCGCAATCCTGCTGGCTTGTGGCGAGGACAAAGAGATGGCGTGGCAGAGAGGGCTCAGTGGTGGTAATGCAGGCCGTCGTAACCATGCATTGAGCCTGATGTGCCTCGGTTAAATTCAGTCCTCACAGCTGCCCCAGGTGGATGGGTCTCTTAGTACCCTCGCATTACAGAGGAGGAAACTGAGTCATGAGAGACTAGCTAACTCTCCAAGGCTGGACAGCTCGCGAGGGGCAGAGCCACCACTCAAACCCAGACATTTGGTTCTAAAACACTCCCTAACTCCCAACTCCAGGTCACCACAACCCTCTATGGCTTCGTGCCCAGAGTTGGTGCTCGTTGAAGTCAGTCCTCTAGCCTGGTTGGAGCCAAGCACGCAGTAACGCTCAATTAATATTAATATTCTAATCTTGTTTCTCCTTCCTTCCCTCCTTCCTCAAGACAGGCCTTTGATTGGTGGAGAGGTGGCAGGTAATTTTGGCTTATGGAATGGATGTGTTAGGGGGTTGGAGATTGTTGAAGGGTATGGCAATTTACCAAAAATCCAACTCCTAGTGAAGAACTCGGGGTCAGGAGCTTCCCACAAATAATAAACCATCATGTGGGCTCCTGGGAGTGGGCACTATTTTGAGATCCAAGCAGGGAAGAGCTGACTTAAGGGAAGCCTGCAAATCACAGTACCTGAGCAGGTGTGCTGAGCCTGGGCTCTAAGTCATAGAAGGAAGACAGGTAGAGAGAAGGCAACTTTCCAAACCATGGGCTTGGAAGTAAGGAAAAAGACATGCCAGGTAGCAGAACTGAGGTGCTGGGTGTGGAAAGAGTTGGCAGACGTAGGTGATGCGACGTTGGCCTCACAGTAGAACAAGAACATCCCCTCCTCTGCGTCTCCTTCTCCTCCTGGGAAAGGCCTTAAAATACCGCATCCTTTTCAGCCCAGGCATTCCCTCTGCAAATGTGACCCAAAGATTTAAATGCACGCAGAGATGGAGCTTTGAGAATGCTCATCCCAGAGCTGTTCATCGTGGGGGAAGTGGAAAACAATCTAAATGTCGGGGGGCTGATGAAATGAATCATAGTACAGCCACAAATAGAAAACTACACAGCCTTTCACACTGCTGCCAGAGAAGAACATCCAAGGTCGTGTGAAAATGCTCATGGTATGTTGTTAAGCGAAAGGAGCGGGTAATAAAGTATGACCCCCTAACTTTATACAGTAGGGTATAACTTTATACAGTAGGGTTTCTGTCATAAAACCAGACCTATAATGGTGAATTTATACATATATAATTGTATATGTGTCTGTGCATGTATAGATATATGCACAGATTATGCATATATTAACTTTTTTAGCTACTTGTGTTTTGGCGTCCATGTTTTCAGACCCTTAAAAAGTACCTGTGTGTATTCACTACTTGTTGCAAGTTTGTACCCTTAAACAACATCAGTTTTACCTGCAACCCCTCCCCTGGTAACCATCTCTGTTTTTTATGAGATTGACTTTTTTTTGAATCCACATATAAGTGAGATCATACAGGACTTGTCTTTCTTCGTCTGATTTAGTATAATGTGATCAAGGTCTATCCATGTTGTCACAAATGGCAGGATATCCTCCCTTCTCATGGCTGAATAATATTCTATTGTGTGTGTGTGCGTATGTGTGTGTATACATATAGATATATGTATACACACATGTATATGTGTATACATATATGTGTGTGTATATACATATACATATACATATATATGTACACACATATACATGTATGTACATATATGTATATATGTGTGTATATATGTATACATATATATGATATATATATATATATATATATCACACTTTAAAAATCCATTCATGTACTCATGTGCTTTTAGGTTGTTTCCATATCTTGGCTATCATGAATAATGCTGTAATAAACATGGGAATGCATAAACATGGGAATACAATGTTATGTCAAATATATTCAATTAAAAATACTTGTGTATGTGCATATATGTGTATAATAAACATATGTATTACCCTATATATGCACACCACATATATAACATATAATTACATAAATTTATATATATATGAAGAATGCACACCAAAATGTTAATAGAACACATGTGGTAATATGTACACACACAAATATACACATACATGCATAGTGTTACGGACTGCATGTTTATGTTCCTCCCAGATGTATATGTTAAAGCCCTAATGCCCTGTATGGCTGGAAATAGGGACTTTAAGGAAGTAACTGAGGTTAAATGAGATCCTAAGGGTGAGACTTTATAGAATTAGTGTTCGTATGAGAAGAGATATTAGAGAGCTAGCTTGCTTGCGTGCTTACTCTCTCTCAATCTCTCTCTCTCTTCCCCTCCCTCCCTTCCTCCCTCTCTCGCCCTCTCTCTCTCTCCCTGTGTGTGTGTGGGCGGGTGTGTGTACGAAGAAGGGGCCATGCGAGCACAGGGCAAGAAGTCAACAAGCCAGGAAGAGAGCTCTCACCAGAAACTGACTCTGTCTGATTTTATCTGGGCCTTTCAGCCTCTAGAACTGTGAGAAAATAAATGTCTGTTGTTTAAGCCGCCGAGCCTCTGGTATTTTGTTATGGTGGCCCAAGCGAACGAAAACACATGCATATATACATACATATGTTCAAAAATATGTGTCTTTATCTATATATGATAATGTATGTGTAGTAATCTATATAGTTTTTTAATATATGGTTTTATATGCATGGCAACATATATAACTCTATCTACAAATATAAGACCAGAAGAATGCCCATCAGAATGTGTATAGTGGTTCCCTCTGAGCAGTGTGGTCATGGGTGACCTTTTGTCCTTTTTTGCCTCTCTGTATTATCTGGATTTTCTACAACACACTTGTATTATTTCATATTACTATTACATTACTTGGTATTCCTATAAGATAATAATCAGTAGTACTACTATAGAGTCTTTATTATAAAACTTTCTGCTGCCTAAAGTTGGACTTGGTCTTGGAGGCTGGGACAGGGCAAAGTGATTGTGGTCCAGCAGAAGCTCAGGAGCCGGGACAAAGCAGAGACTGTCAAGGCCACATCTATAACCTTGAATAGGTTTTGCTGAGCCCACCTGAGCCTCCTCTTGCCATCACAACAGGGTTCCCATGGGAAACGTGCTTTCCAGTCTCCAAAGGACCATCTCACAAACAGTCGCTTGCAGTGCAGACTGAGATCCGTGTGCCTTTGCCATGTGTGAAGGTCACTGGATCAAGTCTGTCCTGGAACGGGAGAAATGCGAACCGGCGCGGCCCTGGATTCTTGACACCTACGTTTCATTTCTCCCACACAGATCAGCTGGACATCATCTCCATGGCGGAGACAACCATGATGCCCGAGGAGATCGAGCTGGAGATGGCGAAAATCCAGCGTCTCCGTGAAGTTTTGGTCCGACGGGAGTCCGAGCTCAGGTTTATGTGAGTGTCTGGGGGAAGCAGCTGAGAAAAGGAAGAGGTGTTCAAGGGTGCCAGAGACTCTAACATTCACAGCTTATTTCTGTGTGCCAGGATAAAAGTATTAGGTACAATAATAATAATAATAATAAAAAAAACTCATTTGATTTTCACTACTGCCAGAGAAGTAGATATCATAATCGTGTGTTTTAAACAAGACCCTGAAGTTGGGATTAAATTCAGGACAGTCTGACTCCAAAGCCCAAGTTCCTTCTCTGTTATTTGTTGAACAGAGAAATGGAGTGAGAGAGAGAGAGAGACAGGCCAGAGGAGGTGCCCCGTGCGGCTGGTGTCATTAATGGCATACGCTCTGGGTTCAGACAGGCCTGAGATTTAAAAAAAAAAAAAAAAAAAGCTAGATGACCTTGAGCAGGTTACTTAGTCTCTCTGAGCTTCAGGTCCCTCATTTGTAAAATGGGGGAAAATAATAATCCCTCTGTCCTGGGATCTTCAGAGTCACGTGATGTAAAAGTCCATTGTCTACAGAGTGCGACATTTCTGAGGAATTATAGGCAGTCTTTCGAGAGGAACTTTAATTTAAAAAATTGAGCTCTGGCAGATTAACATGGAGAGTTTAGAAGCAAAATAAAAAAAAAACAGAAGGTTAAGA